TGTTGACAACGCCATGGTTCGAATCACGGGGCAACAAAACATAGGAGAAGATGTATTGTTGGACGCGTTGAATTAAAGTGAGATTAATGACACTCGGGTTGCTAGAATTTCTAAACTTGAGGTCACGATGATCTAACCCGAGTTGTCGCCAAATTGCCTCATCTTGGAATGTTTCATCCAAGTTTTCGGTAATTTCACCGTGACGAAGGCCAAACAAAGAAGTCAAACCGGCACCGTCAATGAAAACGGTTTTGCCGTCAACATAGGAAATGAGAGATGGCGAGTCTCCCTTAGTGGTACGAGGATTTGCATAAAATTGACGTATAAGATTTGGACAAAAGAATTCATACGTCAAATGGATGAAACGAAGCAAACCTTGCTGAAGGAGAAGAGACTTACTCGGGGCATAGGTCGCCGATTTGAAGAGGTCCTTGTTCACGATCTTAGGAGAGACGATCTCCTTCGTGAGGAAGATGTTGTGGAACCTCTCGACTGAAGCCCCAGTGTTGAAGGCGAGTCCGGTTTGAATGTGAATGTACTTGCTCCCTTCACGACGCCATGGCCTCTCACTCTCCTCTGCCGCCGATTCTTGACGCGATGAAGCATTCTTGCACCTTGGCATCCTTCCTCTTTGAAATTGATGGGATTTGGTGAGAAGATGGAAGAAATTTGAGAAAGATTGGAGAAGGGAAGGTGTTAGGGTTTCTGATTTCTTAACAGGAAAATGGCGAAGAAGACGAAGCCTGGGCTGGATATAAGGGCATAAATCGAATATTAATCGATTAAAAGAAAGTATTTAATCGATTAAGGAACACAGCCGAGGCAAAATCGATTAAATGAAGCATTTTAATCGATTAAACGTGGAGCTGAACGAAACGTTTGCATTTCAAGCTATTAATCGATTACGAAAACGTGGTTAATCGATTAAGATGGATAGATGAGTCTAATCGATTAATGTAACCAAATTAATCGATTTAAAGTGATGCAGAGCAAAAGGTTTCGGATTTTAATCGATAATCAAAAGTCAAGTAATCGATTAAGAGGGACAGAGGCGACTAATCGATTTCTCTTCGAGGAGTAATCGATTAAAACTTGTTTGACAGAAAAAAATATCAAGTCCAATTTGGTGGAATACCAAGGGAAGAGATACCTACAATAAAAGCCCTGCAAAAAAGAATTTATCGCGCCTCCGACGCTCAAATTAGTATAATCAATAAGAATGGATTAGTTCATAGAGATATCCAAAATTCCAAGTTCGTTCCGAATGTGGAAGAAACTCTCCCTACTAAGGGGTTTCGTGAAAATGTCTGCCAATTGATGTTTCGTTTCGACAAACTCAATTGTGACATCTCCCTTTTGGACGTGATCTCGTATGAAGTGATGCCAAATTTCTATGTGCTTAGTCCTCGAGTGAAGAACGGGGTTCTTCGTTAGACTAATAGCGCTCATATTGTCACACCTAATAGGGATGTGATCAAGTATAAGGCCGAAATCCACTAGTTGTTGTTTTAGCCAAAGAATTTGGGCACAACTGTTAGACGCCTTTCACACCTCTAGAGGGGGGGGGGGGTGAATAGAGGTGTTCACGAAAATAATAAAAGTTTTCGTTTAAAGAAGAAAAAGCGCAGGAAAAAAATAAAAGATTAACGGAAACACTGAAAGCGAGGAGACAACGATATATCCTGGTTCGGCCTAATGCCTACGTCCAGTCCCCAAGGCAAACGTGCCCGAGATTCCACTAATCCTTGTTAAACTTAA